ACCCCCCCTCCACCCTCACCCGCTACCAACGTCGCGTCTTATCTTGTTTGAAACTCACTCATCCTCACCTCAGGTTCTTAGTCTGAGTCGCTTCCTGTGGATGTTTCTGTTCGACGTTCTTCAGGCATGCACAACAAATTCTTCACCGGCGTCAGATCTGTCTCCTTGACTTTCTTTTTTTTTTTTATTATTATTATATTATGTGCATGTTTGGAGGATAAAAAAAAAACAAAAAACGGTAGCTTGTTTTGTTGTTTTGAACACAGGAGCTCAGAGATGTTCAGGGTTCACTGCTTCACATGTTGCCTGTCTGACCTCACGTACCGCGGCACCAGCATTATTCTCCTTATCTCCATGCCAATGTGAGGGTTGTTATGGTTGCGGAGCAGCCAGTAGTCTCTTCCTGTTATCTTCCATCAGCTGAAAACCTCCATTTGCCACCGCAGCAAACACTCGCACACCCAAACTTAAATGTTTTGTGTTCACATACCTAACAACTGGCACAAAGGATGTTTTCCCTCAAATACATGTCGAGGTATTTGACTGTGCAAAAACATGAAGATTTTTTTTCCCCCTCCATATTATCATCAAAACACTGGCGGGGGATTAATAGAGTTTAGACTTTTCAAGAGTCAAGTAAAGTGCAGACAAAGTACGCACTCGTGATTGGACGGAGCGGTTGGACTTATCAGACCACATTCATCACAATCAAGGCCCAAACTTGACTCCATACAACGTCCAGTGTGAGTTAAATCAGGTTAAGACATAAAGTCAGGACCTGATAAGAGTGACCAGCAACAACAGAGAAACGTTCATTCACTGCAGCCTGGACGGAGCTGAACCAAAACTGACTCAGCAAAACTTTATCTGCAACTTTCTAATAATCAAACAGAGATTTTTACTGTTGATTTCCCATTGTTCCACCAGTGACTCTTCACTAATGTTCAGTGAAAACTAGGAGATAAATGAGTTTAAAATGAAAAGTTACTGCTCTGAATGTTTATCGTCAACAACAGTGGAAATGTTAAAAAAAAACAAAACAAAGAAAAACAAAAACAAAAATCATCTTTTTACTGCGACAGTAAACGCGGTGAATCGCGATCTTTCGTGTTGGAAAATCATTGCTTAGAGTCATTTTATGTGTTTCCGGCTTCTTCAAATTTTTTGTTGACAGCTTTTAAGTTATGACAAAATAATCCAAATTCTTGACCTTTGCCCTTTGGCAAACACATTTGTAATTTAAAAAAACAACTGTTTTACCCCAGTCACCTGAGTCATGTTGGGGATTTACACCAAGGAAAAGTTTGAGTTGTAAATAAAGCTGTTTTTAGACACAAAATTATATAAACAAATAGGATCTCTTGCGCCCCCTGCTGTATCTGTAGGAGGGTGAGCAAGCCGTTAAAAAAACTGTGACATGTTAGTGTTTCACTCTGAACATGGTTGATCTGTTACCAAACAAGCACTGAGTTCAAATAAACCCATTCATTCATCATGACACTCACTAGTCGCACAAACACAGCTTCTCAAATAGTGGGGCGGGGCCCCCTGGGGGGGACATGAGGGACTTTCAGTGGAATATGGCACCCTGGACATAAGTGTACCACTGCTGTAATGCTTGAATGATAACAAGCCTCCAGTCACTAGGTGGCAGCAGCTCATACAGTGGTTTGTACAGATAGAAACATACACATTATCAGGCTCTCAACAGTATTTGAATTCGTGGGGGAGTGGGAGAGGGAGGACGTGAAAACATTTCTGTCCCCAAGGGGGGGTCGTGACGGAAACTAATTGAGGACCACTGCACTAAAAGAATCAGATGTCACTGGTTCATCCACATCAGCAGAACTGTACCATCGCAGGCCTGCGCCCCCCTGAATGAACACCCTCTCCTCTAAGTCCCTGCCAGACGACGCTTCTGTCAGAACGTCGGAGAGTTTTAAGTATCCGAGCGTGAGTCGGTTGAGAGGATGTCGGTGAGGTTCTCTCTCTCTCTCTAAATGTTTTTGTTTTCTCTTCCCTCCCGGTGTGGAGCCGTGGGTTTGGAGCAACAGAAGGTAAAATAAACACAGAACAGACTTCCCCCGGAACACGGGCCATCCCCAGAGGAATCCTGGGAATGTGGCTCAGAATTACCACATCCTGAAAACCGCCCGTGGAACCCCATTGGCAAAGGAAAGACGGGGGAAAGTGTTCCGTACGGGCGTGAGGATGAAGAGGGACACACCTTCGTACTGTGAAAACTCCAACTCCCTCAAGTGTCTGAGAAATTCCTACCTTGAATCCGGACCTTGAATTTCCCGCTCTGTCCGAAGCCGCCCTCGATGACGCCTCTCTCACCTGTCGACAGCGTGACCTTTAACCCCACAAAGAGCTGGAGGTTGGTCTCCTTCTTGAACAGGTTTCGACCAATCACGGTGTAGTCGTCACTGACCTGCAACGAAAAGGAGTCGATGACAAAGAGCGGCAACGGACGACGGATCATCAAACATCGCTGACTGAAAGGTTTAGTGACGTTGTCTGATATAAATCCATTAACTTTCACCTAGAGTTTAACAAACCAGTCAAGGTTTCTACAGAGAAGACATATTTCTTTGAACATTTTTGAAAACTTTGTTGAACTGTTTATTTTACCTGCAGTAAAAAAAAAACACAGCTGTACCAACAAGAAGTGGAGTTTCTATTTTTTTTTTGGAAATGACACAAGAAAAACAATAATAATAATAATTCCCACCATTTCACAGTTTCTGAATAAATAAAAACTTTCATGAAGAACACAATGTTTTTCATTTATAATGGATTTTTTTTTTTTAATCGCTCACCTCAACAGTCATGGTCTATTACCATGACTCACTTTTAATAAATAAAAGAAAAACATCAATACCTGTTTAAATTTAGGGGGTGAAAGGTCAGACCTGAATTTAAATTCATTTAAACAGACAGACTGGGCCTCAGCTCTAATCCTGACCCAATGGTCCAGTTTGGACTCAGATCAATGAGTTCAAGTTCGTACATGACATTTTGAACTTTGCACAAAACTGTGCAAAAAAAAAACACCAAGGCCATCGTTGACAGCAGCAGTGAGTCACCAACCAGTTGGTGCAGCAAGTAAAGACAGCTCTGTTCTCTCCTAAAATTATCTAGTATTTATTTAGTCCAACTGTCTGGATTCGTCCACTGTCTCGATGCCAAGGTGGAGATGAGTCCAATTATGAATGTCCAACTAATAGACTAACTGAGTTAACCTACTGAGTTAACCTATGATAACCCACAGGCAGCATTCTGTCTGTAGATCAGTTCTGGTTCATCTTTATTTCTGCTGAGTTAACCTGCTGAGTTAACCTGTGATAACCCACAGGCAGCATTCTGTCTGTAGATCAGTTCTGGTTCATCTTTATTTCTTTATTTCTCTTCTCCATTCTTGAACATTTCAACTTGAACATTTTTTTCACGCTCGACTGATCGTGTGACTGATCGCGTGACTGATGCCCCGATAATAAAAACATTACAGTTACCGGCTGTACAGCGCAGACAGACCGTATCCATCAGGACTGGAGGAGGATGTCATCTCAGCCATGATAGTTATGTGTTCTATTAATGCAAGGAATGTGGAGTCATGAAGTATGACTGCACATATCTGCTGCTGCGTGTTTTCTTTAGGAGTAGACAAACGCGTCGTCACATAACCGCACTCTGACCTCTCGCCATCGCACACGCCGTGACCGGAGCTGTCAGCAGACCTGACGTGTGAAGAGCAGGAAACCAGTTCACTCACTCACTTGACCCCTGCCCTGCACCTGACCCCACAGGAGGGTGCAAAAATATGAAAACGAGTGAGTGCCACGCACGCAGAGTCAAAACATCCACAGTCTGCACATTACACAAATAAAAATGCAAAAACGTTCAGAAGAAGAGAAAGCTGTCACATCAGATATCAGTGGAAAACAAGAGAATTAGATAAGAGGCGATAGGGATCAGAATGAACTGGAGCTGAAGATTGAGGACAGAACGAAACGGCAAAACCACAAACACTTAAATCAAGATGACAACTTTATGTGAGAAAGAGATAGAGGAGGCCGGAGAGCGAGCGAGTGTGGGAGAGAGAAGTGCTGAGGCAGAGAGACCAGACGGCAGAGTCAGGTTAACTCGCAGTAATGTGGGTATTCCTGTGCCACTCAGGTGTGTCCAAACAGCGCCAGCCTCTGACAGCTAGACAGGGCCGGTGGCGTCAGGCGGCCACCCACGCACACCCTGTGTGCCTCGCCGCATGCTAAGGCATGCGTGCGTGGCCGTGCCTCAAACGCTGCTCATCGGGGCTGCGTATACATGCTTGTTTGTGTGTACGTGTCTGTTTGTGAATATACAATAGGGGCTCTGTCTGGGAGGCACGCTCCAGTGCCACCAGCAATGAGAAACATCCAGAGCAGCGCCGAACAGACACATGACGTACAAGGTGGTAGAGAGGCCAGAGGAGCAGGGACACAAAGACATGAAGGTAAGAACAGTTGGAGAAAAAAAAAATTTAAACATGAACTTTCACTTACTCTCTCCACCTGTCCCTCTCTGTGTTTGGTCTTGTAGATGCGGAGATTGGGCAGAGCAGTCTCGGTGTAGTTTTTATCCTCGAAGCCCTGTAGCAGACGGCCTTGGAAGGCTAACCTGCATGCGTTGGCGTGGATGTCTGCGTCCAGCTTGGAGCCAATCACGAGGCAGAATAGGGGGCAGGTGACGGGCCGCTCAAACTCCAACAAGGCCCACTGCTCTGGGTCGGGTCCTGAACCGGCCTCTCCTTGACCTCTGACATACTCGTCCTGGTAGAAATACTCCCTGTCCTGGGTGAAGGGTGTTTGCAGCGAGGAGGGTGGTGTTGGAGTTGGTTCGGTGTCAGAGGTGACCTCAGACGCTACCGCGGGCGGAAGGCCAAAGAAGCTGACCTTGGCCATGACGGTCTCGTGACCCACCGTGATGTGGAACTTGGCACGGGTGGAAAGCGAGCCCTTGAAGTAGCCGATCTTTCTAACGGAGATGACGGCAGCGTAGAGGGTCCGCAGGGAGCCCGGGGTGCAGACAACGCCCCTCTCCAACAGCTTAGGGTCAAACTGTGTCACACACACTCCCACACGATCTCCCTGCATGGCCCCTGACACTGGCTTTCTGAACATTTGCACCGACTTTATCTTCTTGGTCACCTGCAATCACAAAATAAATAAGAAATAAATAAAAAATAAACAAACAAAAAAAATATAGTACAATAAATTAATTAAAATGTTCTTTTATTTTTTTCTTCAAAATGAGCAACATGGATAAATGATGTTTTTACTTTTTGAAATACTTTCACACACACACCTATTACACTTTAAAATAAAACAAGTCATCCACAGGAAACAACATGAATAATAATGTCTGATGATTAAAACACGTATATAAACGATATAATATACATATTGTGTGTGTGTGTGTGTGTGTGTGTGTGTACCATGTACAGTATGAACTATTCTGTTACTTTCCGTGATTTCTCTCATCCTAAGCCACAGAACAGAACCAGGATCAAAACTGTATGGTAACGAATTGTTTATTCAGCCGTTTGCTGCCACCAAGAGGTGAACATGTGTTTTGCAGCGACAAATGGATGAGTCTCCCTGTAGGTTTGCATCTGTTCTGTATTACTCCAGTACTGCGGTGCCAGTCCATCACCAGTCCCCCCACCACACCCACCCCCCCATCCTTCACTTACATTAAAGTTAAACATCCTCTGACACTGAACCCACTCAGCCATCTGCCCCTCTGCCTGTCCGCCTGTCTGTCTGCCCCTCTGCCTGTCCACCTGTCTGTCTGCCCACTGTGTCCATGTGACTGTGACAAATGTATAATTCCTGGATCGTACCTTCAGAGCTGGGATCTCCACGGTGTCGTTAACAGCCAGGGAGCCTTGCAGGATGGTGCCAGTCATCACTGTCCCCTGTCCACGGATGGAGAAGCAGTGGTCCACCGCCATCAGGAGGTCACCTGCAGGGTCTCTCTGAGGGAGGTACGTCTGTTTCTTCAAAAGCTGAGGCAGACAGAACGATTTTATTAAAAATAAAAAATAAAAATCCAATACTTTCAGACACAAAAGTGGAACTGGACACTGTGGGGATTCATTTAAAATCCCTTTATGTTACTGTATATAATACATTTGGTAAAACTGTTGCAAAATTGCTATTATTGAAAAAAAAACGATCAGAATCACAACATTGATGTCACAAACTTTACCTGTATTAACTCTGGCACCCCCTGTGGCTCCTCTGAGTCCAGGGCCTCTGGACCTCCAGGCTTGGCTGCCACAGCAATTACTGGACATTCCTTAAATCTGTTTGAGAGGAAAATATATTTTAAAAATAGGTCTGAAAAAAATAGGTTTGATCTTCAAAATAATTATTTTAGTAAGCTGAAAAGTTAAAACGTTCATAGAACTTTGGCACGAAACATTAATGGCGTACGTTTAGTCATTGACACACATTGATTTAGGCACTTTGTAGGAAAGTTCTGCTGTAACTCTAGAGCTGGAGTGACTCCTTCACTAATCACAGGGTCAACAGTTTGATCCCTGGTTCCTGGAGTTCTCATGTCAAGTGTCCCTGGGCAAGAATAGCAATTTTCCCCAAACGTCTGCCTATGTGTGAGTGTGCATCTGTCAGGCCAAAATAATTACTGCAGTAACATTACAGGACTGATTTAAACCGTGTCCAGAAAAGCTGATGCTCTATTTAAAATGCAGGGGGAAAATAAAATGGAATTTGCAAATTAACCTGAACCTTATTTTTGGAAAATATCAGACCTTGCCTGACTCTCCTTACATTTTTGGTGCTGGACTTTTTCTGGACTGCAGGCAGGCCAGTCAGACGACGACACATTTAACCCTAGAGTATGAAGCCATTATTTAATCACATTTTCTACATACTGTATGTGAAGTTGGTAAATGCCGACCTCGTGCTCTCCAGTGTTTTGTGCATCCTCTTGGTCATCTTCTCGATGGCCGCCTGCCTCTTGTTGGGCGGCAGGAGGTCGATTTTGTTCAGAACGACCACCATGCGAGGGCAGGTCAGCTCTCCAATCAGCAGACACTCGGCGGTCTGAGTCTGGACGCCCTTCACCACGTCCACCACCAGCATCATCAGGTCAATAATCTGGGCACCTGGAGAAAACACAGGGATCACAACCACCAAACACAATCAGAGGGGAATGTGCGCTTGTTGCCGATGGAGACACTTTTCTGCTTCGCTTCTCTGAGAAGCAACTACGTCAACATAAGGCCTGTGGACAGACTATGGGTTCGTAATTGTAACACAAACAGGATTGGACACAGACGCACAAAAACATGAGAACAAGAACAAAAATTAGATGATGGTGCAACCAGGCAAAGAGCGTAAACGGCTGCAGGCTTGAAACTGGAGCTGGAGCTCACTTGGTCGTCTTCCCTTCCCCTCTCCTTTTTTCTGACTTTGGCAGACTCCCTTTCCTGTGTTCCACTCTTTTCTCTCCCTTATTTTGGCTCTCCCTCCTTCCTGTGCTCTCCCCACTTGAGACACGAGAGGAAGTCTAATACATACCCCGACTCCAACACTTTCCTTCCTCCCTAATCTACAGCATGTGCCACCCCACTGGCTCGCATGTTTGATATTGTCAGCTGGTTACATGACACAGCAACATTCACACTCTATTTTTGTTCTTGACTTGGCTCAAGACATTAACTACGTACAGATGCACTTTTTATATCTTTGCAGTTAAACAGCATGCATACAGAGAACGGGAGACCCCTACTGGGGAGCGGTGAGGACAATTTATTATTAAAAAATTGCATCTATAACCTACAAAAGGGGGCGCTGCAGGGAATCACTGCACTATACAGGTCACTCTGCTAACAAATTTCAAACATTGACAGGGGGTAAAATTGCTAAAATTTAAAAAGTTAAACTCTGACATTAAACACATTTTATGATGGAGAATTAATGACTCAACACGGCTCAGCAGGTGGTGTTGTTGCGACAGGAACAAAAGACAATTTGCTGACATCTGCTGGTGGCTGGAAACTACTTTTGAGGTGATGGTTATTACACAATCGGTCCCTGATATTTGGTACCAGAATCGTGTAAAGAGCTCACCCCCAATGATAGTGCGGATCAGAGAGGCATGTCCTGGACAGTCAACCAGGGTGAACTGCAGGCTGTCATACGGCTGCTGTCCGCCACTATCCCGCAGGTGATCTGGAAGATCCACCGTGAAGGAGGAGAAGCCCAGGTCCAGCGTGATGCCTCTCTCACGGGACTGCGGGTTCTTGTCGAATGCTGCCGTGGAGGCGGTGCTGCTCAGCGCCCTGGCCAGTGATGTCTTCCCGCTGTCCACATGTCCCAAGACTCCAACGTTGAAATTCAACGTTTTAATGCGGCTCTTGTCATCAGCACACTCAGACATAATTGACTCACCACTTTACTGACAACAGTTTTTCTTAACTCTGGTCTGGACCTTGGACCCAGAATCACTGGAAATACAAGTTTAATGTTTAACTACGACAGAAATTGGATTTTCTGCTACAAAAATTGTGTTATCTTAGCACCGCGAGACAAACTTCCGATCTGCTTGTCACTAAGTTAACATGACACCATGCTCAGGCTGAATGTTCCCTCTGTTAGTAATGTCTGGATCGATCGTCCACGACAACTGTATGATTTAATATTTTAAATCACAAATAGGTTTAAAACAATATTATTTCTTCTGTAATAATTTAGTTTTTCCTGACTCACTGTCAACTTTCAGGTTTTGTTATTACGACGACCAGAGTCGAGCGCAACACAAACGGAAGTTAAACATTTAGAGGCGGGGTTTCTTTCTTTGCTGCAGCGAGTGACACTTTTTTAACCAATGGCTGTTTTGTTTGATTTTGTGGCGACCAATCGTTTTAGAGGCTGGTCTAGATGGGCGTCGCTTCAGGGTATCACTTCCGAGTACTTTTTTGTTAGTGATGCACATGGAAACAAATTACGCAGTGTTGCGGTGTGGCGTACATGTTTGTACCCTGTACAACTGCTTACCGTTGCGTGCGTACGCGCGGTAAGCAGTTTCCTTAATCCTTTAACATAGAAGAAATATCACAAATATTACAGTATTTTATTTCAGCGTTTCATCCATGAACGGAGCTGCATTTTCTTGTACATAGCTTTGATCTTTAATAAATGATTAAAGTGGCTTTGAATAAAGTTGGGTTTACAAAATTCCAATTCTGCAACATAACAAACAAAAATTACCATTATGGAAAAATACGGTGTTCAGTCCTTCTCACCAAGTTACCAACTAGTAAACTAATTAAATAAAAAGTATCTAAATAATTGTATTTAATTGTGAAGTTGAACAACTAATCTACGACATAACCAACTGGTTCACTATATAAGATTATAACGGACTACCTATTTCATTAACAAGTTGGCAGTGTGGCTTTAAAATTAATATATATATATATACAAAATAAGTAATCCAAATAAGAGGCAAAGACAAGAACGCGCTTGGTGGCGTGTGGGGCGCGTGCTCGCTGAGGGCAAGCAGTTGGCGTGGAAACCAAAAAACACACAACACGAGTTCCGGCGCCGAACGCGGCGGTTAGAAATAACCAGAGTACCCGAAGGCGGCTTGTTTTCTGTTCATTTCAGACGCACTATTGCAGTATAGCATTAATTGTCTGAAAAAAAATTCAAATATGAAGATCGAGGAGGTAAAAAGCACCACAAAGACCCAGCGCATCGCCTCTCACAGCCATGTCAAGGGACTAGGACTGGACGAGGCCGGCTATGCTAAACAGAGCTCATGTGGTCTGGTCGGTCAGGAGGCTGCCAGAGAGGTAATAAATATAACTTTAACAATTTTTAAAAATGGAACTTGCAAGAAACTCTTATAATAAGTGAAGTGGCTCACGGCAGAGGTTACTGTCACTTCATGTGATGCTACCGTTAGCTTAGTTAGCATGCTAGCGTGGCTGTATCATAGTGCGCCCATGCTCGTTAAAGAGACAGTCCACCACAAACGAACTCATTCATTCATTCGTCGTAAATGTGTTCAGTTTGTGTTTAATTTAAAAAAGTAATTCTGTACTGCGATGTTTTGTTAGTGTTATCGGCACAACTGCTACTGTGAAAGTTTAGATACAATTTATCACAAATGTATGTATTACTAATAAAAAACGTATTAATATTTAAAAATCTTCACTCTAATTGACAGAAGAAACATACTGTAAAAAAGTAAAGATTGTGTACAGCTGTTTTTAAGATTTTCTTGAAAAAAGAAGAATCTGTGCTGTTGTTTTACTGGACTTCCTCACAAAAAAATCTTATTCGATCTACTGTTGCTGTCTCTCCCAATTGTTGATATTGGCCTTGTCATGAACCCTTCATCCAATATTTGTGTATAATAATTTGTGTTTCATGTCACTCCCCAGGCTTGTGGAATCATCGTTGAGCTCATCCGCTCTAAGAAGATGGCAGGAAGAGCTGTGTTGTTAGCAGGGCCACCTGGTACAGGAAAGGTAAGTGTTCAGCATATATTCACTAGCCACCAAGGGCAAAAGTTTCTTCAGCTGCTGCAGAAAGATACCACTGATGGCCATTTCTATTCTATCAGACTGCCCTCGCCTTGGCTATTGCACAGGAGCTGGGAAACAAAGTGCCTTTCTGCCCCATGGTTGGCAGTGAGGTCTACTCATCTGAAATTAAAAAAACAGAAGTCTTGATGGAAAACTTCAGGAGGGCGATTGGTGAGTATTGAATTTTGGTTTCCTGTTACTGTCCTCTGGATTAGTGAATTAGTTGAGCTGAAAGTCAAAACGGTGCAGAATTACTGCAGGTCTTGGACTGTGTGACCCATTAGTGACATCTGTCACAAAGGAGGAAATTGAGCTCAGGCAGGAGGAGAACTGGTCATCAGCACCCCTGCTCCTCCCCTAAAATCAGATCTGCAGGCAGAGCTGGTCTTTTGAAGCTTCCTGTCACCCTGACGATGGACAGTCCATGCCTTAAACAATGTCGTCTGACCCCTCCTCCACCTGTGTGCTGCCCTGTCTCACTAAACGATGTCGTCTGACCCCTCACACAGAGGGTCCTCCACCTGTGTGCTGCCCTGTCTCAGAGCCACAGGCTGCCATGAAAAGAGAAGCGCGTCTGATCATGTTACACACAGTGATGCCTTGTAATTTCATGGGCACGCGCACACGTGTTCTCTCTGTGTAATAAATCCATTGTCTGGCAGACTGAGGGATGTGGCGGTCCGTTTGATACAGGAGTATAAAGGCTCGGTTGATTTCTCGGCGTGTTTGACCACTGACGCTTGCTTTCAGGGCTACGTATCAAAGAGACCAAAGAGGTGTATGAAGGGGAGGTGACGGAGTTGACCCCGTGTGAGACTGAGAATCCCATGGGCGGCTACGGAAAAACCATCAGCCACGTCATCATCGGCCTCAAGACGGCGAAAGGCACGAAGCAGCTCAAGGTCAGGATGAGAGAAAAACTTTGGAAATTAACAAAATATTACAGTTCAAAAGTCACCGTTACTTTGTCTGTATTGTCTCCAAGTGCAGTGGATTTTAATGTGGTGTTCATCACCAGATGTACATTAGAACAAGATGGGGGTTTTTATTATTGGTTTTAGACTTTCTAAACATTGTCTTTAGGTGAGTTATGATAATTACTATTAGTGATACTCTGTATCTTAAGAGTTATAATTTAAAAAAGGTCAGCGTGTTGATCATGTCTCTTCTTGTGTCTTTAGCTGGATCCCAGTATTTACGAAAGTCTTCAGAAAGAGCGCGTGGAAGTGGGAGACGTCATTTACATTGAAGCCAACAGTGGAGCCGTCAAGGTATCACCTTATTACTGTCCTGATGTACTTTGTCCTGTAGTTAAATGTTAAAGGTTTTAATCAGCTAATTGTTTCGTTGTATTAAAATTCAGTACAACGTCAAACTCTAAGGTCGACTGCGCTCTCTGTCGCTCGTCCTCTTCTGTCCTTCACGACGGTCTTTCATCTCAGTTCTGCTCGAAAAGCTCTGCTGCATTTCTGCTGTGCACTAGAAAGAGCCTCTGTCATT